TATAACATTTGCTTACACTGCCATATTGTCAGATGCTGACTTTTGCAATATTGTTAGATGCTGACTTACAAGAGTACTATCAGATAGATGCTGATTTACTGTAATAGTTTCTGATGTTGACTTAATGTAATAAAAGTCCATGCAGTCTGACATTGACTCAAATCAGTCTTGTCAGATGCTGACTTACCACACTACTAATACATTCTGACTGACATCAATATTGCCAGATGCCAACTTACTACAATACTGTCAGATGCCAACTTACTACAATACTGTCAGATGCCAACTTACTACAATACTGTCAGATGCCAACTTACTACAATACTGTCAGATGCCAACTTACTACAATTCTGTCAGATGCCAACTTACTACAATACTGTCAGATGCCAACTTTCTACAATACTGTCAGATGCCAACTTACTACAATACTGTCAGATGCCAACTTACTACAATACTGTCAGATGCCAACTTACTACAATACTGTCAGATGCCAACTTTCTACAATACTGTCAGATGCCAACTTACTACAATTCTGTCAGATGCCAACTTACTACAATACTGTCAGATGCCAACTTACTACAATACTGTCAGATGCCAACTTACTACAATACTGTCAGATGCCAACTTACTACAATACTGTCAGATGCCAACTTACTACAATACTGTCAGAAGCTGATTTAACTGCAGTATTATCAACACCTGAATCAATGTTTAACTAAGCAGATGCTGAATTGCCACATTCTCTGATTCTAAGTTACTGTGACATTGTCTCATGCTGACAGTCACATTATCTGATTCTAAGTTACTGTGACATTGTCTCATGCTGACAGGTAGTCACATTATCTGATTCTAAGTTACTGTGACATTGTCTCATGCTGACAGGTAGTCACATTCTCTGATTATAAGTTACTGTGACATTGTTTCATGTTGATAGGTAGTCTTGATACAAAAATTACTGTTCTGATAAAGCTAAGACATCAATTCAGACTGAAATATCACTATGATTTTCTCTGTACATTTTTCATTATTGATGATGAAAAGTCACCTGAGTATTATATGTTTATAAATACTGCATACTGTTTCATGCCTGATTTCAGTTTTCCACACTAAATATCCCCAAAAATCTTAAATTGCATCTACCATGAAAGTAAGCTAATTTCTACCTTAGTCAGCACTCTAAACAAAGCCTACCTTTAAAATTAACTACCTTATTTTCTATGAATATTGCTCTCAAACATAAAGCAAGCCTTGAAATAAAGCTAATTTATACAACATTTTGCAATCAAACAGAAGCCAGCCTTGAAACAAGCAAGCAAATTTCTACAACATTTGGCTTTCACAAGTTAGCCAGCCTTGAAAATAAGTTGCCTTATATGTGACATTTTGGCTTCAAAAGTACACTTCTAAAAAAAACTGCTAAATTTCTAGATATTTTGTCTTCAAAAGTAAGCCAGGTTTGAAAATAAGCTACCTAATATAGTAAATATACATCTTGTATTTATGTCTTTTAACACAAAAGGAATGAAACTTATGTCCTTACAAAAGAAAGAATGCAAGTTTCAAACCATATGTTAAATTCCACTGTAAAACCATGCGTCAATTGACATGTTACAAAAATATTCTCTATAAATATATATATATATCTTTTTAAAACTGTCAAATTCTTCTAACAAATAAATTGAGAAGTTAAAAAAAAATTTTCTCACTGACATCTTACTTGAAAACATGTATATGCTGACAGCTAACCATCACTGACAGTAAGTCAATCACAACTGTTAATGGCTTATTTTCACATTCAGGGTATACAACCATAGTACAATGCATACTTGCTCATAAGTCAATAAGTTTATCTGCAATCTGTACAGACCTAAATCTGCCATAAGATGAGTCACCAGGACTGTGCAGTTTGTCATGAGTAAAAGTAGAACCAACAACATAGACCATTATGATATGGCAGATCAGGATATTTGTTGTTTGCTTTTTGGCTCAACTTTTAAGCAAGTATATATGGTATGCAGTTTAAAAATTGCCTCAATGACAAGCATTAATTTCTCAAGTTTATTTAGGTCACTGTTATGTGTTAAATTATTCTTAAAAAATGCATGGCATAAGCATGGTTCATCGCAAGAAAAGGAAAGTGGTTTTAAATTTTAAAAGAATGCATGATATTGATACATGATACACATTAAATAAAATGTATTACCATATATAGAAATATAAAAGGTTAAATTACCGAATAAAGAAAAACAAACAAAAGTAACAAATGAAAAAAATTATGCAGTATAAAAAAGCAGAACATACATAATAATGGTATTTCAACTCACATCACTGGCTTTATCATCTAGTATTCAGTTTCCTTGACATATGGGCTATGTTGTCATGTACAAAGCACTGAATTTTAACAAACTGTTCAATTAACAGACAAATGTCTTGTTTACACTCTTAATTCAAATGCACTGCTAACAAAACCTTCATACACCTGTATATATTAAAAACAACTGTATTTAGGTATGTGTGACATTACAGACACATAAAAGCCTCACATTTATTAAGCTGATGGATGAGAAAAAACTTACATCTCATATAATTTCCCAAATGTAATAATGACAACATGAAAAAGACAATTAGAAAGCAAAAAATATATTTCCTTTAGAATTCTGATATTAAATTCTATATAAAGGCACTGTTTATAATTAATATGCATAATATATAAAAAAAATGGAATGAAATATACAAAGTCTGAGATTCAATATTACTATCATAAACAATGTGGGATAACTCTTGCATTGATGCAAAACTAAGTATAACAGTTCCTGACAAACAATCAGAGTTAAAAGATTTCATTCTAAAATCATGATCTCCATTCCATTTATAGTTGGTTGAGAAAAGTTGTATCATGATTTTTCTATTTTCCTGAAGTCAGGGGCGATACCTCTGACAAACTTGTATCATATTTGTAAAATGATACACTGCATATTCCTGATATAAGAGTGCTCCATCTTATCAAACCACTCTCAAATGGTTTTCAACAAAATGTTTTTAAAGGCTTATATTTCTGTGAGGAAATAGCAGCCATACATGATGGCATATTGTTATCAATACTAAATTTGACAACAATATTCATGCTTTGATTCTCCATTGAATTTGGTATAAAGTTTTGCATATCTGGAGAAGTTGCTGTTTTTAATCATCTGAAATTTTATTAATGGTGGTCATGTTTGATGGCCTATCCGTATAAATTATACAAAATTATGGTTTAAGTGTCCATAAATGCTTGCAGACAAATGTAGTTGCATGTAAAATTAATGAAGCAGCTTTTCAGGTAAAAATTGCAAATCTAACAGATGATGCATGACAGATGAACACAGGATGCATCTTGCTAACTCATTGGGCCTTACAACAAGGTAAGCCAAATTTTATAAAATGTAATCAAAGTATCATATTTTCTCTTTTCTGGTGTTGACAAAGCCACACACAATATACAAGGTATCCTATATAATTTAAATTCATTGATGTTGATGATTTTTCACCTGACAAAATTAACATCAGTATTAGAACACATTTTTATATTTTAAAAATTGTATTTATGAAAAATATAGTAAATTTAGCATTTTCTGGCTTGTATTCAAAGTTTTAAAGGATTTTAATGTTTAGCAACTTTAAATTGTATTGGCCAAATATATGATATTTTAATTTTGGAGATTATCCATTGCAAAAACCCAGGCCCATTGACATGGCATCATGCTGGATGGAATTGCTGGGATCTCAAGTTCAATCCCTTTGGAATGGGATGCTGGTTTCCTCCACGAGATTGGTGATGGGTAGCCAAGGAGAGTAACTACGGTGGCATTAGATGGAGAAGGTGATGCTAAGTAAAGAGTTTCACTTGTTGGCCAGTCCAACATTATGGCATATACTCTGGTTCCTGTATCTACCTTCTTTGATGTGTACCTGCATAAAAATAAGTTTTAAACACGGGATATACCATTTATTTGAAAGAAGATTCAGGAATGTTTTAGAAATAATGAGAATGCCATGAACAGCACATTAAAGGCCTGTCCCAAATTTCTTAGTTCTCTAAGTAGGTAAGTAAAATTTCTGTTGTTGTGGGTTTACCACATTTTTTTTCAGCACATGATAGGCTATACATGGTGGCCAATATATCTACTGGATGACAAACCCAGGAAAACCCAAGTAAGAACCACCAACCCACAAGTTTCTTGCATATCCACATTGGCCGAGACCAAGGCTTGAACCAATGCTGACTGAGGTAACTAGTAGATCACTCAGCCACTTGGAGCTCCCATGAAATTTCTGTAATGAACCAACATATCTTCTTTCAGCCAGTGACCTTGACCTTTGTCCTAGAAATTGAAAGGTTTCTTCCCCTATCATTTGACTAGGACTGTGATGAAAAACCATTTTTGTTCAAGTCAGTGATCCTGACCTTCAAATCAATAGCCTTTATATTTACCTCAAATGAAAGCCATCCATACAGTTTGGTTTAATGCCCAACTAATGATATTGTACATAAAACTTAATTGTTGTTGTTGTTGTTGGGTTTAACACCATTTTTCAGCACACGATAGACTATTTATGGCAACCAGTATTAATGGTGGAGGAAGAAACCAGGAAATCACCGGAAAGAACCACCGACCCACGAGATAAAACCTATTTGTTTCTTCAGTGAACATGACATGATCTTGCAGCTAAAATCAATGGGCTTCTTCCTTACATCAAGTACATATCCAAAATATTTGGAAGAGACATGTCATATAGAACTAATAATACTGTGTGGAAACCATTTCTTGCTCTTTCAGTGATAATGGCCTTGACCTTTGACCATTTGACTCCAAAATTAAAAGGACTAATTAAGTTCAAGCCATCTACAAAACTAGTAACCAAAAATCATGGTTTGTTTGTTGTCTGAGTTCTGATGACACTTTAAGCAATGGGAGCTATGTGCCTTTCTCAAGGAAAGACAGAAAGCTTACCTAGGCTGGCCTAAGCAGGTCCTGAACCCATAAACACTGAATTATGAGTCCAACACTCTACCAACTGAGCAATTGTAAATACCATCACAGACAATGGAGAACTTGAGTTATTGTGTAGAAACCATTTTTCTGCTATCAGTCTGAGTGACCTTGGTCTTTGACCTTGAAACTGATTGGGTTCTTCTTTACCTCTAGTGCAAGCCATCCACAATGTTTAGCAACTAAAATGGTGAAGAACTCCAGTTATTGTGAAGAAATAATTTTCTATCTTTTAGTCAGAGACCATGAATCATTTGCTTTTGAGCCCATGATTGATGGTGTTCTTTATAATTTACAAGCCATCAACAATGTCTCATTACTTATACATGGTGTACAAGTTTTGTGAAGAAAACAAATTCACAGAAGTTTGATGGAAGGAAAAATCATAACATAATATGCTTTGCATTTTGGTGGGCATTTAATAGCTAAAGCAAAGAAGAAAAATGAAACATCTTTACACAGAGGAGTATATATCACCATGAATGTTCCAATATGCTACAGTACCGAAATTATTGTTGTTTACAAATAAAACAGAAATATATTAACACTAGTGATGTAAAGAATTCAGCATTTACTGCCAGCAATGAATCTGCCTACTATCCTGTGGCAAATGACTGTATTGTTTGTCTACTTTATCAAGTTAGTATCCCATCTGGCTAGTAAATTCTTCATGGTAAACAATCTGTTTTTTATTTGTGAATTTTAAGCAAAATCTGTTCAAGTTTTAAACACACTTTCTTGTAACGTGTAAATGTTGTGATTCTTGTGGTTATTAGTGATGTCATGAAAATCTTTGATATGACATTACATTCAGGAAGTGATAAGATTTTTAAGATGACCACTGTGGCAGACATATTGGATGTCAGATCAGACCATATTCATTTAGGATCTAAGAATCCCTTTAGTGAAACCACATGTTGATATGACCCTCCATTCAGGAGAAGCATCAATATATCATGTTTTGTAAGGGAAGCGTAAACTAGTTTTAATAAAGTAATACTTACCTGTCACAACAGACCTGCTTACCTCTTCTGGGACTTAAGTACCCTCATCAATGCTAAGAAATTCCATTAGATGGAAAGTTTAGATGAGAAAAGAATAGAGTTCCAGTATGACTGCCACACCATAGGCCCATGTGAAATACTCATCCTCTTTGCCTGGATCTAGACAAAACATTGGACATCAAAGCAAGGAGAAAGGAGAGAGTCTCACAATAGTGACTGGTAAGATCACATTATTAATATTAGTTTTAATCCATTCCACCCTCCACTGAAAAAAAAATTAATACCAGTTATAATTGCCTTACTTAAATAGTCAGTTCAGAGGGAGGCTGATTGCCTCAAACATTGGTATAAAAATGACATAATCTTATGGTAGCAGCATTGCTTACAATAATTTTGCAACAACTTATTATCTGTAAACAAAAGGTCCCTCACAGTAAGAGACTGATAAGCTCCCTTGACATTAAGGACAACCCACCTGAAAATGGTGGATAGCAAGATATGTATGGAGCCCTTAATAGATTTCAAAATACTTGAAAAGATCTGAAGGATGTGGATAAGAATCATGACCTTTAAATAACTTGGGCATGTTAGACAGGGTTGATAAAAAAAACGTAATAGTTGAGATTGATTATTCTCTCTACAAACAGGAAAGAAGAAAATACACCACTGCAATTAAAAAGGGACAGCAAACCCCTACGAAAACAAATTAATGACTTCATGAACAATCATGAATGTTCATGAAGTTATTATCATACCCCCACCCCCTTTTTCGATCCCGATACCATATGCAGTACTGCATCTGCGATAGGAATTTAGATGTTCGGTATCGTATTCTGTTTCATTACATCACTATATGATCTGATGTAATTTGGTAAATTCAAACAAAAACAAAAAACTAGTTAATGTGTCAAACTTTACACAATATATGTGCTACTATATAATGCGATGAAACCGGAAGCAGCTATATGCAACATCCAGCATCAGAGTGGATAAATTTTTATTGATTAAAACATTCAACTCTTGAGAATTATAATACCTATGGCTAGTCAGCTTCAGTTAAAATATAACTAGTGAAAAAATTCTCCAATAATGCAACTGCTCAGTAAGTTGTGTATTAAGTGTATGGGATTAAATAATTTTGAAGTTGTCTGTAATTAACTTTCTTTCAGATCAGACAGCAGAAAAGTAAAATTACTAGAGGATGAAGTTTGTAGGTTAAGGAGGAAAATTTGACAACTGGAGGATCTTACAGCCAAGAGTGGAACAGACATAAAAGTGACTGCTGCAGCAATGTTAAAGATCCATACAGTAATCAAATGAACAGCTTAAGTTGCAGATGGAGACATTCAGTAGTGACAATATGTGGAATTTCATTAAATTAAAATTAGGCCCTGACTGTCTTCACAAAAAGAGTTATCTGACAGGTCAGTTTGGGGGTGGGGATCCAGGTCATCAGGAGAAACCCCAGTGGAATTAGCCCCTGACAATGACAGATAAATATGCTTCAGCAGTTGATTGAACACAACTGTCCCATTATCTCTTGAACAATTTTCAAAGAAAAATTACAAAACATACAAAAAGTGTTGCTAAGAATAAAGAAAGAATATTGCTTAATGTCAGTTGACATGTTCTTTGTTGCATATTATAAATTTATCTGAAATTAAATACTGGTTTTTTTTAAGATACTGTAATATGTTGCATTTTATACTGTTTTAAACCCCCCACATCTTATGTTATTTTATGATTCCGGATGAAATAGGTATTTGTGAGTTTGTCAGATAATCAATTTTATTTGGAACTGTTCATGAAGTCATGAAAAATGAGGAACATTGTTCATCATAATTCATGAATATGTTCATTAACTGTGATTAATGATGATGAACCAGTTAGTGAACTTTTATGAACTGTTCATGAATTCAGTTCATGAATAGTTCATGAACATTCATAAACAGTTTGTAAAGTTCATGAATTATTCATGATCATTTTGTAGGGGAAGATCAATGCATTTATTACTGTACCAATTAAAGAAGTTTCTGCTTCAAAACCTATCCTGGTGGATTGATCACCTGAGATAAGCCAAGCATTATGGTTGACAATCTGTGGGTTGCTATGGTAAAGAAACTCCCAGTGCTGTCATAGTAGGTACCTCCTGTGAGTAGTAGGTACCTCCTCTGAGGTTTTGTTCTTGGTAGAGGTAGAGCAGATGACTGAACTGAATTCATCTGAACTACAGAAGAGCTATCAAAATGAGCTTGACAGTGGAAGACCAGACTTTGTTGAGTGCTTATGGAATCATTCTGAAACATGGAAAGGAGTAAGCAAACAGGCAATCCCACCTAAGCCTGAAGTTATCCACAGCATATTCCTTTTATCTTGGACTGAGCAAACATAAAAGGGGAGCTTATTGTCTCATTGTGAACATATCTATCATGGCTCTCACACCCCAGTCTAAACAAGGACTATTGATGAACTGGTACAGAGACCATTCCAAAAAAATAATTTGCCTATCTTGGACAGACTGTCTGCCAGAATCCCTTTTGTGCCCAGAGTATGATAAACATTTCAAGAAACACCTTTAGTGGCTTCCCAGGAAAGGATGTTCAACACCTCCATATAAGAAGAAGCATATCAACCTCTCTGCCATTTGAACTACACTACATTATGTGCTGTTGGAGATTATCATTGACATGACTCATTTGGTTGACATACTCTTTGTTGGGCTATAAACACCATTGTCTTTTCCAAATTGTTAATGTGAAAACTTGCTTTTTCCTGGAACCATTAGCCCTCAAGAACTACATACATACCATCCCCTATAGAGGAATAAGCATAATTATTACTAATATAAAGGGCAAAAAAGCATTATCTGAGCATAAAGAGTATAATCCATATATTACAAGCAATGATGGCAGGAAACTGTATGAAAATGTTCATTGTTTTTATTACAAGCCATGATGAAAGGAAACTGTATGAAAATGTTCATGGTTTTTATTACAAGCCATGATGACAGGAAACTGAAAATGTTCATGGTTTTTATTACAAGCAATGATGACAGGAAACTATGAAAATGTTCATGGTTTTTATTACAAGCAATGATGACAAGAAACTGTATGAAAATGTTTATGGTTTTTATTACAAGCCATGATCACAGGAAACTGTATGAAAATGTTTATTTCTTTTATTACAAGCCATGATGTCAGGAAACAGTATGAAATGTTTTTTTTATTATACCCATTGAACCACTCAGTTAAAAACAAAAATCTAATTTGGCAGCTTTTAGAGTTTTTTATATATATGATTCCACCTCACTAAGAAGCACTCATAAACTGAGGATTTAGAAGGAAAAAACTCAATGCAGGCTTTGCCCAATCACACCATTTGTTGACTGAAGATCACCAGCACTTTGTGTCAGCATCTTTCTACAGGTGATATATCAGCCTCTTCTCTGCTAAATAACACTTTAGATAATATATGGATTTGATATAAAAGTTGTTTTTTTTTAAATCTTCTGGTTCATGAATATAACAAAATGCCAGTATTAGGTTGAGTTAATCTTGATTTGTCATAAACATTTTTTTTTATCAATATTAGATTTTATTTTTCTTTATTTTCTTGCATATGTCAGCACTTAATTTATGAAACAGATATGTGTAAGGTAAATACTTATGATTTGAATCAAGGATTTAAAAGAATAAATGATCCAGCCCATTTCCATGACACATTTCTGACACTTCTGAACCAATTTATGTTGTTGATTGGTGGTCCCTAATGAAAACACTATAAATTCTGGAAAAATGATACATGTGCCACACCCTTAAGGAAGATTTTGAATGGTTATAGAGAATTCACACTATTATTTAATTCCTCTTACCATACATTATGAGCAAAGGTATCATTCTGATAAGACCAAGGCTTTGTTCCATATATGGCCTCCCCATTGACCCCCAGCCACTGTCCCATTTGTCTAAGTCGCTCCTCATAGATAGGCTTTATTAACCCATCCCTGCTGGGACCCACATCAATTAAAATATTTCCACCAC